ACTTTGTCTTTCTTCATCTAGAGCAGTTTAGCACCAAACGGAATGTTATTATTACTGATGGCTTCCAAATTTATTTACCTTTTAGTACGTACCGTAAGATTTGATAAAAAGAAACCAATCGTTTAGATATTGTCAAAACTCTAACACTACTTCTTGACGCCAAACTCGGCCTAACGCATTGAAACGCCATTTAAACGCCAATGAATTCACTTCAGCCTATCAGATGAAGATAAAAATTGATTCGGTCGGAGTGCTTCTATTGTTTTTGGGAATAATGGGTGCAAACATTCATATCACGCGTTCTTATTGACTTCGTTCGGTAGCATTTGGACTAAAGTATTGTACCAAAAGCACAATTGACCTGTTAATGCCGAAATCATGGATTTTTTTTTTATGTTTTCTGCTTCAAAATGAGCACTTAGACCGAAGTAGTTCTCTCTTACACGTTAGAAACTAGTAGCATTCATTGGATATTATTACTTTTGCTGAAATATGCCTTATTGCTGAGAAAAACGTCTGCTTCATGTCCTCAAATCCACAGGCAAAAGAATTCGTGTTTGACTTGCTCTATCTGCGGCTGAGGAATAGTTCTAGCAACGTTTATCACTAACTAAAGCCCCAGGTTGCCGCAGACAGTATATGAGCAAGTCAATCAACTCTCTTTTGCCTGTGGATTTGAGAACATACCATCTATCAATATATAATGAGTTATTTATGAGAAAGTTTGAACATACTGAGAGGTAAGCACATATCATCGGTAAGAGACGTGTGTGTGAGAAAATTTGCGAAAAAATCTAAGGGCACCGGTGGGATTCGAACCCACAATTCCCATTCAGTACACGGGTGCATTGCCAATTATACAAGGGTGGACCTATGGTCTACGGATGTATTTGGCTAATGACATTTAAGTTTCTAATCCGTTTCTCACCCTAGTCTTTTTGCGCAAGCGTTCTCTGATACACAACAATCGTCTATTATCGACGATATGTGCTTGTACCGAAACCACTCAGTATCAGTCGATGTGACATACCTCTCAGTATGTTCAAACTTTCACATAAACAATTAAATTGACTGCAAAGTCGTTAAACCGTAAATCTCAAAGTAAAAGTAATTGATTTTTTTTTTTGTTATTAATTTATTTGATAAGGCTCAAACGAATTAATTTTACAGAGCCGATGATTCTTGGTCACTATACTATACATCTTAAAACTATAGTCAAAAGGTACAACACAATAAACACTTTATCTTCCGCTATCCAAAAAGCCTTCTCCATCAGAACTGGAGCCGCTTCCAGTAGTTTCATTGTATGACAGTTACGTCATCGAGGGTCAGAGCGCGTCAGATGGACGCAAAACGTGGTCAGCACTCACACACTCATCAAGAAACGGTTGCTTTCTAAAGTCGACGACGCATCGACTGAAAGAAGATGAAGAACAATGAGGAGGACCACACAATGCACACTGGGGATAAAATCGAAACAATGTGTTAAAATTCAATAACTTCGGTGCTCGCTGGAACAAGAGACTAAAAAATAGTCATTCTTATAGAAAAAATTCTCAGAAATCGATTGGAGTGGGTTTCATCTTGGGCACGATAGGGTAAATTGGGGTTTTTCGCAGTTTTGCCCTAAAATCTCCTATTTTGCATGATTTGAATGCTGTATATCAAGATACCGATGATATAGACGGATGATTTCTTCGGCAAAGTTGATCAGGAGGTTAAGGACTGTTGGATGATGGACAGAAAAATTCAGAATTCTTCCGCTAGGTGGCGCTAGTGAGCATTCGAAGCGTATATGTTTGTGCTGCTGTATCTTAAGATCCTGACTATTTAGACGGATGATTTCTTTGTCAAAGTTGATCAGGAGGTTAAGGACTGTTGGATTATGGACAGAACAATTCGGAATTTATCCGCTAGGTGGCGCTAGTGATTATTGAAAGTGAATATATTTGTGCTGCTGTATCTCAAGATCCTGACTATTTAGACGGATGATTTCTTCGGCAAAGTTGTTCAGGAGGTCAAAGACTGTTGGATGATAGACAGAACAATCCAGAAATCCTCCACTAGGTGGCGCTAGTGAGCATTGAAAGTGAATATATTTGTGCTGCTGTATCTCAAGATTCTGACTATTTAGACGGATGATTTCTTCGGCAAAGTTGATCAGGGGGTCAAGGACTGTTGGATGTTTTTTCGTAAAATTTAGAGTCGGTAGGTTTTGCTTAGGATTTTTATAAAATATTCATACAAATATCAAAGACAACAAGTTTTAAACAGTGAGGTTCAAATTTTCCGGTTAATTTTGACATTTTTTAACAGAATGAAATTTGTTTTTTGGGAATTTTTTATAATTATTGCAAGTTTATGCACCCAGGTTAATGACTATAATGCACATCATTTTCGTTGTAATTGATGGTGTATGAGATGTTCTAGGTTCTCCAAGTTGCTTTGGAGTTCAGATTATTTGATCTACTGGCTCAACCATGAGCTACACGATGTCCTCAGCGACAAAACCTACAAAGACATGTTCATTAAGTTTCTGCGGATCGTTTTTGATTTATTTTGATTTATAATCAAGGTTCTCCAAATTGTCTTGAGCTCAGATCAAATGATTTACCAATTTGATCTACTGGTTCAACTAAAATCTGCACGATGATCTCACCGACAAAACTTTCCGAAACACGTTTATACAGTTTCTGCTGTTCGTTTATAGTTGATTTTGAGGTGTATAAGATACTCACGGTTCTCCAAATTGTCCTTGAGTTCAGTTCAAATTCTCATCCAGGTTAACTGATTCAAAGCCCTTTGTATTAAAACATCTCCAAACAGGGTTAAACATATCATGCACATTATTTACGTTTGAATTCGATATGTTTAAGACGTTCTAGGTTCATCAAATTGCCCTCAAACTAGTTAATTAGGCTACCATCTCGCATTTTAGTTTGATTACATTCATAGATCAGGGGGCCTCCATAAGCCCGGTCGGTAGAGCCTGCGACTATAAAGCAAACCATGCTTGAGGTGGCTGGGTTCGAATCCCGGTTGGTCTAGGATTTTAGATTGGAAAATTTCTCGACTTCCCTGGGCATAGTATATTATTGTACTTGCCACACAATATACACATGTAAAAATCGAACAGGCTTGGAAAGCTTTCAATTAACAACTGTGGAAGTGCATCTAGAGCACTAAGTTGAGAGCAGGTGTTAAGTTACAGTTAGGACGTAATAGCCAGAGAAGATCATAGATAGCACTAACTAGCGGAGGAATTCCTAATTGTTCTGTCCATCATCCAACAGTCCTTGACCCCCTGATCAACTTTTCCGAAGAAATCATCCGTCTAAATAGTCAGGCTCTTGAGATACAGCAGCACAAATATATTCACTTTCAATAATCACTAGCGCCACCTAGCGGAGGAATTCCGAATTGTTCTGTCCATCATCCAACAGTCCTTGACCTCCTGATCAACTTTGCCGAAGAAATCATCCGTCTAAATAGTCAGGATCTTGAGATACAGCAGCACAAACATATACACTTCGAATGTTCACTAGCGCCACCTAGCGGAAGAATTCCGAATTTTTCTGTACATCATCCAACAGTCCTTGATTTCCTGATCAACTTTGCCGAAGAAATCATCCGTCTAAATAGTCAGGATCTTGAGATACAGCAGCACAAATATATTCACTTTCAATAATTACTAGCGCCACCTAGCGGATTAATTCCGAATTGTTCTGTCCATAATCCAACAGTCCTTGACCTCCTGATCAACTTTGACGAAGAAATCATCCGTCTGAATAGTCAGGATCTTAAGATACAGCAGCACAAACAAATACACTTCGAATGCTCGCTAGCGCCGCCTAGCGGAAGAATTCCGAATTGTTCTGTCCATCATCCAACAGTTCTTGACTTCCTGATCAACTTTGCGCAAGAAATCATCCGTCTATATCATCGGTATCTTGAGATACAGCATTCAAATCATGCAAAATAGGAGATTTTAGGGCAAACCTGTGAAAAACCCCAATTTACCCTATCGTGCCCAAGATGAAACCCACTCCAATCGATTTCTGAGAATTTTTTCTATAAGAATGACTATTTTTTAGTCTCTTGTTCCAGCGAGCACCGAAGTTATTGAATTTTAACACATTGTTTCGATTTTGTCCCCAGTGTGCAATGGTTGCTGCCGATAAAACAGACGATCGCGTGGCACACATCGAGAGTGGCCTGCTTTTGTCAACAGCCGAGTGAACACTAAAAAAAAAAGTAATTGATGATATTCATCACTACGGCCCGGTGGTCGGAGGTGAGGTCGGCAGCTCAAATGTTATATTCATACTGTACTGGACATATTTCAACATGTAAGATGTACAACAAAAATGAGCTGTGTTTGTTCACATCGACTGATACTGAGTGGTTGCAGTACAAGCAGATATCGTCGACAATAGACGATTGTTGTGTATCAGAGAACGCTTGCGCAAAAAGACTAGGGCGGGAAACGGTGCCCTTAGATTTTTTCGCAAATTTTCTCACACACACACGTCTCTTACCGATGATATGTGCTTACCTCTCAGTATGTTCAAACTTTCTCATAAACAATTAAATAGACTGCAAAGTCGCTAAACCGTAAATCTCAAAATATAATGAGTTAGGTAAGAGAGTGCACGTTTGATCAATATTGTCGTAGTAATGGCCCCTCGCTAAATTTTAACTTCTGTTTATTTTTCACACTGCCATACTCTAGCGGAACTATCAATCTATCGTCTTCAGAACTTTTTCAAGTTAATAAATTATCGCACTAAAGCTACATGTTGATATTGGTATAGCATTTCCTCCTAACTCTGAAAATCGTAAACATCACGTACGAAATAACGACACACTTTGATTTAATGTAACAAAACCAATTTTGTATTCCTACGTTAATAATGCGATCGTGTCTCGGACGCAACCCCTAACATTTTTAATCAATATTACTGTTTTCGTAATTTTCAACATATCTCTATTTTTTCCAGATCCACATCGAAGACGCTGGCAATGATAAAGATGATGAAGTAGAAATCGTCAAATCCGAACCAAGCCCGGTAATCGTTCTGGACAGTGACGATGAAGAAGAACCGCATCCAATCATCGATTGCACTGATACGGAAATGAAATGCTTAACTATGCCATCCAGTGAAAATAACGGACCAACGCTAGACACAATCACCAGAAGTTCGCACGAACCGGCCAAAATTTGCAATTCCGATCATTTACTAATGGAAACAATTTTCAATACTCCTCCACCGACGCCGAAAGCAGAGGAAGACCAACAGCCACTGCCATTGCCAACGTCAGCACTGCCAAGTGAATCCGATGTTTCTGCTGCAACAGCCATAGTGCAGAGACGGAAAAGTATGCTCCCAAAGGGCGTCACTTTGAAAATATCCAAGAACGTAAGACTTCGCAGTAATCGCGAGAAGCGACAGTTTATGTCAGCCTTCCGAAAGTTGAACTCCGATGAGTGTTTCCATATCAATTTACGAACCAGTGAGACGGACTATTGTCTGCGGAAAACGGTAGCTGTTTCTAGCATATTTGTGGAAGTCATCAGTTTTGCTGAATTCAACCCTGGTTCGATGATTGCTTTGCCGATTAGCGGAAATGGGCTGGAGTTAAGTGAGACGTCATTTACAAATTTACCATCCATTAGGCTGGAGGATCCGATTCTGCAGGAGATTTCTGGACTACAATCTACCGAAGAACAGCAGGCACTGGACGATCAGCTGATGAGGTTGATAACCACGATTGATGATTTCCCTCAGTTGTCCCCGGAGTCGGTAGATTTCACCGTATTTTCCGATGAGCCGGATCGAACGTCGATGGATGCTCTTACCAACGACCAAACGCCTCCATCGACGGTGGTTAACGGTTACTGTCTGTGGCCCCACGATGATTTCTCCATATTTGCAAATCTCGACTTTAACCCATGGTTGGGACAGCAGAACACCGCGTTTCCTGCATTCGCATCATCGTGTACTTCGCTTGTCTAAACCACTGACGTCCACAAGCCGGGGTGAGAGTAAAATCTAGACGTTGTAATTTATTGTACAGAGATTTTCTCAAGTCCTCAGTCCAAGCGATTCATTGAAGTAACTCCTGCATTGTCTCTTTGAAGCGGATCTCCTATCACCAAAAAAAGCGGACGACTGCAAAACAGAGCGTCATAATTAGCAATCGTATACTTCCGTTTGCACAGCAATGAAGCAAAAAGCTTATCGGTTTCAACTATTTTGTCGCATTGGTTTCACATCGTTATCGAATCGAAACGAAAAAAAAAACGAAGAAGCAGCACTGTATCAGTACAATCAGATTATCGGATAAAAAAAGTGAATAAAAGTAGCATGAAGCAGACGATAATTGCAGAACCACAGAAACGCTCTAGCGCTCTAGCGCTAGTCACAATCCCAGAAGTTACCTTAACTCTCAATAGGATAGTTCGTTGAAAATAAAAAAAAAAGATAAGTAGCACAGAAGATGAAACAAACAAAAACTGCAATCGATCGGTCCCGTTTCAGTGATCAATGTCGTTAATGAAATATCAACCGCAAAAGCAAAACAAGAGAAACGAATATAGTAGATAGCTTAAAACCGGCATACAGCAATGACACTAGGATTTCAGCTCTTTCAATCATTTCCTATTCTCCTATTATAACTATAGAACCGTAAGTCGTCGAATGTTCCTGTTTCAGCGGATAAATTTTTAATGTCTTATTCTCGCACAATTTCAAACTTTGCGGTTTCCATTAACTTGAATACTACATTTAGGGCTTAGCTTAGAAAGAACAATTTACAACTTGATGTCTACATAAAAAATAGCATCTATTTTCTCAATAAGGTGATGGTGTAAAGTTTCGTCTCTTAGACAGGTAAGAACAATTAAATCGAGCTTCGATGTTCAAATATGTGGTGCAATCCCGGGAGGGGCGGTTTGCTCCCCTCGTGGAATAAATAAATCGTGAATTCAAGCAGAACTGATGCTCTTTATTATCGATGAAAGAAATGGCCTTTGCGAATTGGCGTTCGGTGGAGTCATCTCTATGGTATATGGTAGAAAACATTCACAATGTGGAATCACCAATCGATCCCTAAGACATGTAATATTTCAGCATATTAATAGAGTATGAATTGAATCCCAGCAAGCATTTTCATCAGAACATCACCTAGCTAATTGATACATGTATGAAGCATTGAAATACGATTTATCTTTGCCTATAGATTTATTGTTCGATGTGAAACATTTCTAATTAAGCTGTGCCAGATAGAAACAAAGAAAACTTCATCTTACGATACCTACAATGTATACGGCAGGTCAAATGTATGCTCTATCGAAATGGGATTCTACCATTCAGAATCCTGTTGCCTACGATATCATTAATTAGAAACTTGCATTGCAAAGAAAACAATTGAAAGAACATTTTCTGTTTATAAGACGCATTGTATGTAGGTTTTACACATTTTCCAGTTGCCATGGTGTTACTTCCCCACGTTGCTGGTAGCAATTACTTTCCTTCGACTGGAGAAATTCTCTGCCAAATGAGCAAACGACGAAACATTCAACACGTCTTCGGTATAGGAGATTATGATTTTTTCCACCGGCCAAGAGACCATCTAACATCAAGAAAAAAAAAATTCAAAAGGGTATGTGTTTTCACATCTTTTTTTTCCTTGATTTGTTTTCTGTCGATCTTGTTTTCCGTGCTGAGCACCAATGCTACCGACGCCAGGAAGGCAGCTCCCACACCTGGACCCTACCTATCGACCCATCAACTCATGAACCGGGGACCAACAGCTTTACTTCCCTTTCCGAAGGAATGCGTGATTAGAGATGTTATGCCTCAGAACATCCCGGCGGCGCTGACTGGGATTGAACCCAGGCCTGCTGGGGTGAGAGGCAATCACGCTTACCACTACATCACCAGCACCACTGAGTGTTTTCACATCTGTATTTTTCAAAAAATTATGTTGATTATTACGAAATTGTGTCGGAGAATTATTTGTTGACAACCATTTGAGTTTCATTGAAAAAAATATGCATTGAAATTGTATTTCCTTTTTTTTTCAAAGAATAAAAAATTTAATTTGAGTTGCTTATCGTCCAATGTACGATTTAAAAAAAAAAGAAAAGAGTTCAAGTCATAAGAAAGATTTTTTGTATAAATTAATTTATTTATTAAGGCTCAAATGCAGAAGCTTCACGAAACCGAAATTAATTTTACTTTTTACAGTGTTTCTTAACACTAGAGTTAGTACAAGTGAGGTGAGGTTTGAATACTACCGGCTTACTCGAGGTTACGGGCTACAATCTATTAACAGGCAGGGAAGCGATCAAGGAAAAGGTACACAAGGGTACGATTGACATATTTATCCGAGGTATTTATCTTAATCTTAACGATTGACCATGGTAGACGCACTGCGGTGACGGGAAAGTACGCTTGATCTCTTTCAAGATGAGTGATGGTTGTTGGCAACTACAACTGGGCTTGGGAAGGGACAGCGATGAGAGAACAGATACTAAAATCATAGAGGTTACTCTAAGACTAGAAGGTCCCGAAGAAACGTGCTCAACTTTTTGGCTCAGCTCTGGTACTCTCTTCGGTACCAAGCTAATCGATACACCCCTCGAAACATAGGAAAATCCACGAACCCCTCATTCGATCTATCAAACTTTCAAAGCGAATCAAAAAAAAAAACATAGTGTAGTATTAGAATTTCGACTAGAATGGAACGTTAATCGATTTGCTTGGGACCTAGGCTAGTCAAGTAGTGAGCCAATTAAAAATCGTTAGTTTCCACCGGTTGTTAAAATTGAGACACGAACAGACAAAACTGTACCACACTCTCAACCGTTAGCAATTCTAAACGTCAAAGTGGATGATCGACAAAAGCAATGGCCAGAAGCTAGTTGCAGTTTGGATAGCGATTCAAAAGAAATTCGTTCGCTACGGCCTTCGTCACCTTCGTTTGGATCCAGTGAACCTTCCATCCTATACGGATTGTTGTCTACTCCTGGATCCTGAAACACTAGAACATAGGCGAACAGTTAACCAGGCAGTATCTAAGGCAAAAGTATTACTAGGCGAAACCGACTGTCCCAGAATTTTGGTCAAATTAGAAATCTACGCTCCTGAGCGAGTTCTTCGAAATTTCTACACATTGTTTGGCTTCAACTGAACCGCTGAAACCTGCCGTCATCGGATAGAAAGGCGATAAATGATTTGATACGGCTCAGGAAGCAATCCACTAATGGCGTAGGTCAGTGTCTGTCCAATTAGGGGCTGTTCATTAACTATGTAGATGGTTTTTTTGGGATTATTGACCCCCCTCCCCCTGCGTAGACAATTGTCCATACACAAATTTTAAAATTTGTATGAGCCGTGAATAAATGTCAACCCCCCCCCCCTTCCCCTAAACTGTCTACGTAGTTTATATACAGCCCCTTATTTACATTGCTGAAGTTTATGCTACCTGTTGTCTTTTTGCTTTTCATGGTTCACTATCAACGGAGCGGCGTAAGTTTTCAATTATATGACCCTACGGCATAGGATTATTTTAACTTACTGACAATACTGTACTTGTGTTCTTTTTATTTTGCTAATTTTCTGCATCGTTCCTTTGTAAGTTCTTTAATTGTAATGTGTATGTTAAAAGATATGGGGTTTTTAGCTAAGAGAAGAGGGGTAAAAAAACACTTTTCTATCAAACGCGAACCAGCTCGTGATTGGACGATTTGAAGTGCGTAATATAGAGATAGAGATAGATATAGATAGAGATATACATAAAAGAGTAACAAGCCAGTCGTCTCCTCCTCCTCTTAGGTTTTTACTAGGGGCAAGACAGCTTTTGATTTTTTAGTTTTTTTTTTTGAGTAACTCAGAGTAAAAGACTGAACACAATGGCAGCGGCATAGCGGCACAGCAAAAAATGCGCAATGTACTAAAATTGCACTAACCGCTGCACAGTGGGACGAAATCAAAAATAGAGGGACATGGCTATTTACGACGAAACTATTGAGTGTAGCATTTTGATTTCTTTTAGATTGAGTCTTTATTTTTTGAGTACTTTAATTGAGAAGTGAACATTTTTGTTCAAGGGGGGTATACACTAAGATAGAAAATAACGTTTTTATGTCTACACATTTTTAACATAAAGGTTGAGACGTTAACAAACATGTCATGTAAAATTAAGTGCTCTGAGACTGAAAAGTTCGTTACTCGACAAAAAGTACGTTTAATTGAGCTGAATTTCGCATCTATTATGACTAAATTTTATGTTAAAATTGACGCTTGTATATGTCAGTCTCAGAGCACCTAAATTTACATGGATTTTTCTAAGTCTGTAGTTGAAATTGATGAATATCTATGGAAACATTGTAGATTAAGTCATTTTAAGGTTCTAAGAAGGGTCATTATTTTGTTTACTTCTTCTTTTTGAAATATTCTACGATCATCATTTTCTAAATGTATTGGTAAAATTCATTGGAAGTGCATGTCTCCACGCCAAAACTGCTAATGTTTCACAAATATCAACTGGTATGGTGAGGAAAACTTAACCATCTGTTTTCTTCCTTAATTTCAATACAACAGCAAATGTGATGTCACACTATCTAGTGGATAAGAATGGAGCAGACAAAACATTCACACTGCCAGACTGCGCTGTATGCAAGTTTGTTTACACCCCTGAGTGGGAAAGTGAATACCAGGCTACGTGCACTGCTGCCATCAACCCTGTTAGGGTTGAATTCAATCTTCTGTGGCTATTTAAATTGGACCGGTAAAATGCCTAGAATGGTCGTTTTTGTTTTATTTACTCAGTTTCAGATATTTATTCACCATTAAATACATCCAATCATCTATGGTAATGAGTCAAACTTCGCAATTGCTTATTTAATAAACTTAAATTCATTGCTAGAGGTAAAACATCTGGCAACGCTTTTTCAATGATAGTTTTACGATTGCTGGCAAAGCAGTAAAGTTGAAGTAGTTTTCTTGGTGTTCAATTTTGTTCACCAAGAGTTTTGAGGAGCAGCTGTTTTAGGTTTTGTGTATTCAATGGTGTGTTATTGTGCTATGCTTCGAAGAACACAAGTATGTAAATACAGTGAATATGTTTTAGCCAAGAAGTTTTCGTTCTAAAATCATGAAATACAAGTGTTGAATTTTTGTATTAATATTATGTGAATGTATGTGTAAACCAATGATGATGATTAAAGAATATTTCAAAAAGAAGACGAACATAAATGTACTTACCCTTTGTAGAACCTTAAGAAACTTTGTTCAAGATGTCCATTTTCTATCTCTCAAGTGGACGAAGTTATAGGGTGAAAATGGATTGCTATCGCTAGTACTCCCTTAGAAACCGTTTTTTACCATAAATTTTGACGTAGGACTACGTCTGTGATTTCTATATGGGGGTACACTTTGTGAAAACCGAAATTAGAACATGTAACAAAATTATGAAAGATTTTGAACGTTAATAACTCAGCTACCCCTGGACCAA